TTGACTTCTATAATCGACATAGCTAATAGAAAACAAAAAGTTTTATGGGAACGACATATTCTGACTGCTGCGTGACATAATGCTTAGTTATGTCATTTCTATTTTTTAAATTTTCTATGGTGAATGTAGAATGTTGTTTTCCTAAACTTAATACCAACTATTTATAATAACCTGTTTTATGTATAGTTGATATTTTAGTTATAAAATATAATACATAAATGCAAAGTTTCTCTTTCTTTCTTTCTTTCTTTCTTTCTTTCTTTCTTTTCCCCTAATCTATACTAATATTATAAAGAGGTAAGATTTGTTTGTTTGTTTATACCGAATAGGCTCCGAAACTGCTGAACCGATTTAGATGAAATTGGGTAAGAAGGTTTTTATCCCGAAAATCATCCTTTAAGGGGGTGAAAATGGGGATGAAAGTTTGTATAGGGAAGCAACCTAGAGACGAACCCAAGCGAAGAGAGGGTGAGTTGGCAGTATTTAATATACTAGTGGTTACTACGTACTACCTACATACATACATAATTAAATCTTTAGTCCGAAGTCTTTAAAGTCTTAAGTCTAAAAGAAAATACTTAGAATTTATAACTATGTATAGTGTATACTCTAATCCTTGGTACAAAATGACGATGATTAGGCGGACAGATGAACTAAATCACACCAGACCCCTATGTTCAATTGAATAAACGTTTCCGAGTTCATTGGAGCAATGGAATAATACTATATGATTTGTCATTCTAACTACACATAGGTGGCCACGCAAATATATATTGATAAGTAATATATATTATGATCTTTAACGTTTTGTACTATAACAAATAAGTATATCTATATATGTATAGTCAAACATGACAGTTCAGTACTTTTAGGGTTCCTTACCTAAAAAAGAAATCAGGAACCCTTATAGGCTCGCTTCGTTGTCCGTACGTCTGCCTGTCTGTCTGTTACGACCCTTTTTTTCATGAACGAATGTAACAGTCAAAAGAGAAAAATGAAAACTTATATAATGTTTTCTGTTGTTCTATAACATTAGCGGTGCACGTTTATTACATACTAGCGACTCACCCTCGCTTCGCTCGGGTTCGTCCCTAGCTTGCTTTCCCATACAAAATTTTATTCCCATTTTCACCCCCTTAAGGGATGATTTCCGGGATAAAAAGTATCCTATGTCCGTCTCTGGGTTCTAAGCTACCTCCCCGCCAATTTTCAGCCAAATCAGTTCAGCCGTTCTGGAGTTATAAATAGTGTAACTAACACGACTTTCTTTTATATATATAAAGATTATGATAAACATACACAGGAATTACTCAAAAATGTAACCGGTCTACCGACATTAATACGAAAGTTTGTCTATGCGTGTGTATATTTGTTACTTTTTTACGCTGAAACGTAGACAAATTTGGATAAAATTTAGTATAAAACACAGTTAATATATCATTTAGTATATAATACAGATATGACCTGGAGATAACAACGACACTGTAAAGGTAAGTTTACACTACGACAAATATTACGACATAAATATCAGACATTCATTTCTGTACTATTTACACTTTTACGAAATTTTAGTGTCTGAACAAATAAATGCACGGAAATTGTGTCCGAGCTGTTCACACTCCTTGCTCCACGTGAAATTTAATTTTTAGTGCCATCTTCTACGCGGTGAGGTGTAGTATTGAAAATGTTGAGTCTGATCGAAAACTTTTCAATCACACCAGAAGACACTTGGACACAACGTGTCACACACAGACGCTGATAACGACACAAATTGTTGTGTCGCAATAAATTTCACAATTAGGGACACTCGGTGAATACACTGAGTGTACCGTGTATAGTGTTTTAGTCTAAACAGGCCTTTAGGCACCTAGGGACGCGCTAGTTTCTTTATTTAAGAGATAGAAGTGCCTTTCTATTAATTATAATTGTTTAATACATTAATCTCATTGATATTTCTAATAGTATTACTTGACGAAAACTATTGCTTCCTAAAGAACATTTAAATGATAATATATATAAATACTCATTTCGAACTTAATTTAATAAAGCATAAGTACGACTAAAGTAATATAAATTGCCAATGTTAATTGAGTCCTTTCCACTGCATTATATGAAGTACCCAGGTCAGCCATTCGGCCCTTATCATGCGTCCTCAGCCCTTGCCGAATGAATAAGAAAAAATAATTTTATCCACTTACAGATTATTATTTCATATGCGGCCGCAAAATTACCATACATTTTTTGTTTACTGTCCTCGGATGCTTTCAAATAAAAATGTTTTGTCCCTCAATTTGAATAAGTAGTAAATACATTAAACATATTTTCTTGTCATAAAACTAGCGACTCACCCTTTCTTCGCTCGGGTTCGTCTCTAGCTGATAAAAAGTATCCTAGCCTATAGTAGCCCTTCCCAGAGTCTCAAACTATCTTCTTATCAATTTTCATCTAAGTCGGTTCAGTACCAAAGATTACCCCCTACAACGTCACAAACTCACAAATTCACAAACTCATAAACTCACAAACTTTACCTCTTTATAATATTATAGATATACACTCACGCATTCTTTTAGTGAATATTATCAGGTCTCAATGTATTCAGCCCTTTTTGATGTCCCACTGCTGGGCACGGGCCTCCCTTCAGTACGAGGGGGATCAGGCCATAGTCCACCACGCTGGCCAAGTGCGGGTTGGCGGACTTCACATGCCTTTTGAAAACTTGCTAGGTTCTCTCAGACATGCAGGTTTCCTCACGATGTTTTCCTTCACCGTTAAGACAAGTGGTAATCATGTGGGAAATGATTCGCACATGAAAATATCAGAGGTGCGAGACCCGGGATTTGAACTCGCTTCACTCGGTTTCCCAAGCGAGCGCTTTACCACTGGGCTACCACTGCCTCTATCAGGTCTCAATAGTAGTAAATTATTGTAGTGTCATTCAGATTTCACATACACAATTTGAACTCGATATAATAATTAATTAAAAGTAAATTAAAATTACATTTGATGACGTACTGAGTTAATGATGATAGCTATTAAAAGAGTGTTTAAAAATTATTAGATTTTACTATAAAAAGTATTACACAAACAAGAATGTTGAAAGTGCGCAGAAGAAAAAAAAGGCGTAAATTTTTAATATCGTTTCTATTAGGTATTACGAACATAAGCCGGGAAAACTCTAAATCGTAATAAGAAATGGTACCTCACCAGTGTCACGGTACAGTGATTTACGTTTCCGTTTTTCCTCTACCTAACAATATACTCGTAGGTACGATATATTACAAGGTTCTATGTTAATTTTAATAAAGTTTAGTAATTTTTACATAGAACTTCGTTATTTTGTTATCGTAAAAAAAACAACATAGAACTATGTAAAATTGAATATTTTGTAGTTATAGTGCCGCTATCTAGTGGTTTGTTTTTGCAAAACTGTAGCTAATGACACATAAAACCTTGTCGCATTAATAACTAAATAAGTACTAAAATTGTAACATAGAACCTTGTAATTGTGAGCCAACGATATGTTACGTTATTTATGAAAAACTAGCGTTCGCCCAATGATCGAAATTCGACCACAATCATTTATATTTATAACACTAAAACTCGACCAATGTAGTTAAATCAGAAAAATAAAAAGAAAATCGGTTGACAAACAGAGAAGAAAAAGCTTAACTGTTTTGTCTTTGTCTATCTACGTAAAAAAAACTGTTTCCTATTTAAAATGATATTATTATTTATATGTAAAAAAAATATTCGTAACCTTTCTGAAATCGATTTTTATTGACATTAAAGAAAGCTCAACAATAGCTACTAAAAAAAAAAATAATAAGAGAAAGAGGTCCTGAAAAGGCAAAGACAAAACGTCTTTGCCTATTTATACATTTAGACTATTAGAAAAAGAAAAAGCGAAAACGTATGCGTGTGAATATTTGTCTTTACGCTGAAACGACTAGTCGGTTTTTTATGAAATTTAATACACATATAATCTATGACCTAGAGTTACACGCAGGCTTTTTTAGTAATAATTTTTCCCAAAAGGTGGTCCTGCCTGCATATCCATACTAATATTATAAATTTGAAAGTGTGTTTGTTTGTTTGTCCTTCTTTCACGTCGAAACGGAGTGACGGTTTGACATGATTTTTTGTGTGGAGATAGATGGAGGGCTAGAGAGTGAGTGAGTACTTTTTACCGCGGAAGATTATCTCATTCCTACGGGAAAACACGTTATAATACAATCCAAAAAAATATTTATGATCAGAATTACTTGAAACTTCGTATTAATGCTCTTCAATACAATTAAATAAATACGTATTTTAGCATTTTTCGAAATTCATTCGATAAGGGGGTAAAATGGGGCATTAAAATTTATATGAAACCTACCTTTTCAGAGTTTTTTGTAGTTTTAACACGAGCGAAGCCGCGGGTTCTGCTAGTAATTTTATAAATACAATGCACTAGTGGGAAGCGAGTGTAAGTTGCTAAGTACTTGATGATATAAACAGACGCTCAGTATGTACCTATTGGTTCCTGGTTTTAACTGAAAAGTAGTTCGACGCCTAGTTCAATGTTCATTACATTGTCGTACTCCAACAGTATAATGAAACAAAGAGGATATGGAAGATTCATGAAGAAAAGTTCCGCACTCAATAATGCAGTATCTTAACCAGGTCGCTGCTCGGAAAAGTTTGACTACAACTATGTTACGTTGTATGCATTATACATTATGTATGTTATTCAAGAAACGGAGAAGGTGGGTTATATTGCTTTTGTTATTCTACACGTATTGTTATTAAGTTATATGTTTGTTCATATCCTAATGATACTAGATAATGTCAAATCGATTTGTTGTCTCTTTACTGTAAGAACCACGGAAGATAAAAAACAAGAACGGTGAAAAAATAAATACATATTCGTATTTTCAAGGAAAATTCACAAGGATTTTTGGCATAAGTGTCTTACACTACAAATAGCAGCATGCGTATATCGTTAAAAAATCTCTTACCTGGTTACCAAACACTCCAATGCTGCATGCAGACGATACTTGGTCAGCTCCGAACCAGACTGCTGCCAGTCTTGGGGGTACATTCAGGATGAAGACCTGCGAGATGGCCACCACAGTCTGCCCGGTGAAGCCAAGCCAGAACATGTCCTGGGGCACCGAGAACACTTTCAGCCATGCTCCTGCGCATGTCCCGAATGATCCAATAATCGTTGTTATTCGAAGGCCCTGTAAAGATAAATTTATTTAATTATTTTAACATATTAGCTAAATAGTAGCAAGCACTAGTATCAATTCTCTATAATTTACCATATTTTGAGCTACATACATAAGAAAACGGATTAAGTGGTTAATATATAATTATTTTTGTTCTGAGTAGAAGCATATCTGGCACCTATACATTTGTATCAAATCAATGAGACATTTACGTAATATAGACTAAGAATTTTATATAATATATTATTCACGAGTACTTATAGATAATAATTTATTTGTTCTAAGCAATACAAGAATAAAGTTTTATCAAGTAAATTATTTGCAAATATAATATAAAAATTAAAAATTCAACATCTATTCTTATTATTATAAGCCTTGTAATAATTTCGAAAACTAGTTCAATTCAAAAAAAAACAATATTTATAGCTACCTAGAGGAAAATTCTTAGCATTTAAACAATAATTCAATAGTGTGCGCTTGAATATGACAAACTGAGGCATTATATTATATTACTCTCAGTAAGCCATTGAGTTAATGTGTATGTTTGTTAGTATAACATTGTAACGACTCTACAGATTTAGGTGAAACAATGAATGGAGATAGCTCAGGTCCTAGACTAATATATATTCTATTTATGTTTATTATTTATGTTCCTGTAATATGAGTATAGCCGTACTCAAGAGCTTGTTTAAAACATAATATAATGAAGTAAAACATTTTTAGATAACATAAATGGATTACAATTTAAAACTTTTATTGTGACCGATCCTTTCCACTATCGTGTTCAAAAGGTCAAACATTAATTTGATCTATACTGAAAATACAGTCCTTTCTTCAGTAAAGTGGATCGTTTTTCATTTCTTGCACAATTTAATCTTACGGTTCCAAATAGAGCTTAAATTCTACCATGATTGATGATGATTGAACAATGATTTTTTTTGTGTTTCAGATAATTTGAACTGATAGATAAAGATTGATAATTATCTTCTTTTCAACTTAAAAAGAAGATAATCAAAAGATTTATCGACATGAAAATCACTCTAAATTCTAAGCATCCACTCTTGGGGTGGAATGTTTTCTCGAAATTTCATTATACACTTCAGAATCATGAATATTTAATTTCCATAGGTATTTAATTTATCGATCGTATTTTCTTAGATTTATGGGAATATTTGACGTTTAAAATGTTAAATATTCGCGTTATAAACTGTCTTTTCGGATTTTCAAGTTCCTGGTGTTTCAAATGCTTTACAGCAATAATGGTCACGGGAGAGATTTCGGATTTCGCTCAAAATTATGTAAATGTATGTAATATTTTAAACTGAATAATATAAACCCACTCAAACTCCCTAACTATACGCCCGAAATCCACTTGCATTTAGGTATATTACCTAACTTTTTGCATTTCCCTAATATCCCACGAGAATTACTTCATTTCCCGATACAACGAGACGCCTAATATTAGATATATCACTCACCGCACTATAAACTTAGACGCAAAACGTCACCTCATATTTTAGTTAATTTTGTGATATAAAAACCGAAAGCAAACCAAAAACCAAACCAAAAATAATGAACAGTGAACACGGTTTCGCATATTCTAAAATATTAGTAAATACTTAATAAATTTTAACTCCTGAGCACTTTCAATTTAATTAAAATTCTAATAATAAAATAAAAATTTAAAAATATTAATAAAAATGTATAAATTAAGGCCTCACTAGAGTTTTTTTCGATAATTTAAAAAATGAAACAAAACCTAGAGCACCATCGTGATATCATTTTAGGGCTTCGTACCCGAAGGGTGATAATGGAACCCTATAACTAAGCCTCCGCTGTCCGTCCCTCTGTCAGAGGCCTGTATCTCATAGGTAGAGAGTTGGTTTGTTGATTGGTTGGTTGATTTTCCCAGAGTGTGAATTTCTATTGCCGCTATAACAACAAATAATAAAAAACCAAAATGGCGAATTTCAAAAAGCCTGCCATGCAAACAAAAAAATTCGATTATAGTACGGAACCCTTCGTGTGCAAATTCAACTCGTGTTCTTGTTTTTATTTTTCATAAATAGATATTTATATTAGGTATTTTATTAATAACTATTAATATTTGTACTACATTAATTATCTTTAATTAGCATTATAATCTGGTATATTGTATTTTCCTTAATAATGACTCACACTTACCATTGGGCAGCGTACTCGAAAGGTCAACATTGTATTCAATACTCGTAGCAATGAATGAAGTGAATGAATGACACACGTTTTCAAGTGCTTTCATATTGTTCAACAATTTATTATTACAATTTTAAGCTAAAGTAAAATTGTAATAATATGTTGTTTAATATATCTCACCGGTCGTGTCGAGTAGTCGTCCCACCGGAGTATGAGAGTGACAGGAATAGAGAGTGCACGTTGTCTGCGCGTACACTTGTGCACTATAATATCTCCTGCGCAGTTGGCTAGTCTCAATGAGATTGGCCGCCGTGGCCGGAATCGGTCAGGAGAATATCATCATTTTCAACTAAAAATCTCTTAGTGTACTCTGATACTCATAATGACTCATTAAAACTATGACTCATAAAAAATATTTTATAATTGGCGATGTATGTATATGAATGTATTACATACAATAAAAATATACATAAGCACACCCAAATCCTCCTCCATCTTTTTTGACGTTGGTCAATTATTAAGGCTGCATAGTACACTATCAATGACTTACTTGGTTTTCCTTCGTCGAAAATCCGTGAAACATAAACAGAACCATCTGACATTCATACAATCGAAACAATACACAATATATTTTCCCTAAACGGGAATCGCGCCCGTGACCTACCGCATAGAGAGAGAAACTACTCTACAGTAAGACGTATATACGAAATACGAAGTAATTATAGAGAGATGTTAGACCCTTTACATGAGCAGCACTTCTGCTAAACAAGATTTAACTGAGAGCAAGTATTAAATATTCTGTGACACTAATCAAGTTCGATTATCGTACAAGAGGGATAATATAATAAATATGTAACAGACTTTACGAATACCTATGTACATATGTATATTGTATCTGTTCTTATACCTTTCTCTTAATATAACCTTATGTTATTTAACTTAAGTGTAAAAATCTATGCAATATAAGTTAGACTCAATTATATTTAGTATATTTATTTTTATACGTTTCACTAGCATTACTTCCTGGTAACTAATTTTATAACAAACTAGCGACTCACCCTCGCTCCCCTCGAGTTCGTCCCTCCTTACGTTTTAACGTTTAGTATAGATTTTTTCAGAGGTGAGATATTTTCCCGCAGTAAAAAGTATCTTTTACCCGGATAACCAGCTATCATCGTACTAAATTTCATCAAAATTCCTCCAGTGGGTTTCTTGTGATGCAGTCACAGACAGACAGACAGACAGACAAAAATTCTAAAAACTATAGATTCGGTCTTTGTACTCTTATGTATAATAATGTCTATTTCAATAAGATTTTCTGGAAGATCCGGCTTAGTTACAATTTTATTATATGTTATGATTTTGTAAGAATATTATAGTTTCCTTTCTTGTAATTCTAGCGGTGGGTCTAGTGACTATTAATTAAAAATTTTAAATGAATTTAATAATTCTGTATTAGTTGCATGTAACAATAATTTCATGTAAAATAAAGTTCTGTAATCATAGCACGTATGTGCCGTATAATATAAACTCATACAGTATATTTTTAGTTTTTAATGAAAAAAAGTAAACAAAAGAAAAAATTCTTAGTAAGTTTTAAAACAATAACATGTTACATTTGAATTCACAACTCTACTCTTGCCAGCTACGAGGAAAACTAGCAGTCTTGACCCCTATTCTTTTGTGACATGACGCGACGTTGTAACTGCTCTCTGACCTAAGAAAATATCTCTACAGTCCCCTTCGTTGGTCGCATATTTAATGTTTCTTAAACTAACAAGTTACTTGAAAATGCAGTTGGATTTTATATTGTTTTTGTTACACACATATGTTTAAATTATAAGTACTATTTCGTTTTGTATACTAATTTTATAGTGTAATATAATTAAATATTGCAATTTTTTTTTTTTTAATACGATGATTCGAATATTCATTAACTGTCCGGAGCTACATTCTCTCCGGGCCAAAACAGGTTCTTACGCTTCCAACCTGTGATCTTTAGCTATTTTACATACTCGGCCCTGAGCTTAAATATGTTAAAACCTATAATTGAAATGAAATAAACTTTATTCAATTAGACTCATTACAAGTACTTTTGAATTTGTAATGAGTCTAACTGTTATTATTGATGATGAGATTAATTAAAATAATAAAATTGAAAATGTATAAATATACCTAAGAAAGTAATAATATTATATTTTTAATGTATAATGCGTGTGACTACATCCATATACTCTTTTTTTATGTCGCTGGGCCATATAGGAGTCTGTCATTCTAAACTTAACATCCCTGCCGACTGGCCAGGGGACTGTAAAACTGTCTTATTAAAACCCACAGCGGAACCCTATCACTGCGAAGCAAGGGGACGTTACATGAGCGCTTGCGCACGCACTAAAAACTCTCATACATCTAAATAATGTGTAGTTATTATTAGATCTCAATAGAAGTCTAATAACCAAAGTATGGTCTTCCTTCCCCCACAACTTTTCATCTAGTAAGGTGACGAGTGAAGGAAAATCTTTTGGTCTATCCTCTGCTATTACGACATCTTGTCGAGTATAGTTTAATGCAACAATAACATATTATTTCTGAAATTTCAATAGATAACACTATTTGAAAACATTGAAGTAAAAAATGGAAACGATTTTTAAGCCAGAGAAATCACAAGCAAAATCCAGTTGTAAAATATTTTGTAACAAATAAGTAATTTTAATAACAGGATGTCTAATAGCGGAAACATTTTTAAAGGGTAGCATCAGTTATTAGAAATCCTTTATAGCTTTAAGAAACTTAGATGCTGGAGTTGAAATTTTATAGTATTCTTTATTTTTACGCTTTAA